TACCTTTTAAACTATGCAACACCTTTGATTTTGGATGTCTGCTTACTAAATTAATCATAAAATGTATAGTATACGCCCTATCCCTAGCCAGCCGTGTGTGGTTGACGTCGTGCGCTACACCTCGCTCTACACCAAGTAACTGAAGTCTCTCTTTATTTCGAAAGGCATGAGAAATCTGGAGGACTTTTGGTCCTGCGCAGCCTACGCCCGCAACCACTTCAACCCGTTCCTCTTCAACTACGCGTACAGCGTTGCGCTGCTTCACCGTGAGGACACGCGCGAGGCACACCTTCCACCTCTCAGCGAGAGCTTTCCAGACAAGTACGTCGACGGCTCCGTCTTCGCCGAAGCCAGGGAGGAGGCGAACACTGTGATAGACCCGCAGCAGAGGGTACGTGTTGAATTCAATTCGGGGGTCATTAGTCCACTTTCTGTTTTGAAAAGGCAAGAAAACGGGATAGTTTATGCGATCAATCTCGTGCCTGTGTGACGAGTGACGACTGACTGTTGGTGTCTGTCTATTTGTCTGTACCACGAGCTAGAAAGGTTAACTTTCGATGGTTCCGTTCAGTTTAGTTTGTTTCATCTTTGTAGTACAGAAGGGAAGTACATAAAAGAGAACTCAAAATGGTTTCTTAGTGGTCACTTCTCTCAAAGGTGTGGAGGTCCTCAACTAACGTATAAGGCATTTCAGTATTACAGATCAAATTGTTCGTAATACGGAAAATTTCCTCCGTATTACCGATGATTTGTGATCCATATTATTACATTGTAAGTTTTCTCACGAACAACTGCTCCTTGTAACGAAAAAAGGGTTTTAGCGGAAGCTAAAAAGTAATATATGCAATCCTGGGCCTTCATCGTAGGTTCCGATCGTGATCCCAAAAGATTATTCAGCCTCCGACCTAGAAGAAGAGCACAAGGTGGCCTACTGGCGCGAAGATATTGGACTTAACCTACACCACTGGCACTGGCATCTGGTTTATCCATTCGAGGGGCCAACGGAGATTGTCAACAAGGACAGGCGTGGCGAGCTGTTCTTCTACGCCCACCAGCAGATCATCGCCAGGTGAGTATGCAACCACTGAAATTCCATTTACAGAACGAGGGAATAAGAAAAGAAGACAAAGCTGGCCTGCCCATGATAGTAGGACCTAAGATGGAGAAACGGCATGGGGCCCCCAACCGCTACGCCACTGCGCGTTGCGACGTGTAACTGCCGTGCAAGAGAACTTACACACAAAAGGAAAACTGTTTTAGAATCAAGAATGTCTGCTGATTTGCCGCATATTAAAACAATTGTCGAACAACAGTCTGGAAGTGGAGATATTATAGAAGCTCAAAGTTACGCCGCCGCTGTCGCGGAGGCGGCGTCTCTGAGCGCCACCTCCTGCTGGCAAGATCTTAGCCTTAGCCATTCCGGAAGTTTTTTTTTCCTCTTTCCACTCCGAGTACGTTAAATATAGATAACAAAAGGAGTTTGACACAGAATATGCCCCCAATAGTGCAGAAATGAAATGAGAAATGAAAACAACGAGAATACGCCCAGGATAGAGAAGAAGAAAGAAAACACTGCCGGAACGGCTAAGATCTTGCCAGCAGGCGGTGACGCTCAGAGGCACCGCCTCCGCGACAGCAGCGGCGTACCTTTGGGCTTCCATATCTCCACTTCCAGACTGTTGTTCGACAAATATTTTTATGTGCGGAAAATCAGCAGACATTCTAGATTCTAAAACAGTTTTCCTTTTGTGTGTAAGTTCTCTTGAACGGGAGTTACACGTCGCAACGCGCAGTGGCGTAGCTGATCGGGGCCCCAAACCGGTTCTCCATCCTAGGCCCTACTATCATGGCCTGCCCATCCACCACACGGAGTTCGCTTCGCTCCGCTGGTAACTCCGTTCGGCAGGGGCCAGGCCTACTTGGCCTGCGGCCGTGACCCGCCCTTTAAGTCACTATTCATAGCATTACAAACTTAGGCTTCCGGGCGGGCCTCCGACCCTTACAAATTTGCTCCTAAGGCATAAGGAAGAAATGCACGCGGGTAACGCACCGTGACCATACAACCTATCCCTCTGCTTAGAACGTACAAGTGAGTGGAGCAACCCATAGTGGCTGAGCGTTTGTGTACTAACACCAAAAGGACCGGGGGGGTCAAGATGACCCCTTCTGATTTTCAATTGCCAAAGGAACTACGAATTAATTTTTTGACTAATTGATCACTTTCCGACCTTTCATGTACTACCAAAACACACTCGGACGCAAAATATGACGTCCCAGTGACAGGAACTTCCGAAGAAATCATCACCACCGATACCTAGAATTACCGAGGGGGTCACTTTGACCCCGTCTCGAGATTTTATACGTGTAAACTGACGAGGACTGACTTTTTACTCGTTCTTTACCTCCCTCCCTCCCTCCAAACATCACTACGTGGAGGTGAAAGAACGAGTATTGTGCTTGGTGCTGTGTTGTTAGAAGCCATTTCGCTGGAGGAAACTGGAATACATACAGACAAGTGCAGTATACCAAACGGTAGGGTTTGACCCTGTTATGAAACCGTAATAGAGGTTTTTTTCCACTGTGATAGAAAATTTTAGAGAAAACTCGATTTATAATTTCTGTCCACGTCGCGAAGAGTGCAAAACTGTGGTGGCAAATGTGTAATTTTGAAATGTCAATAACTCATTTCTCCGGGTGTAATTCAACGAAAACTGATGACCACCATAAATGTGCCATGGAGGCCGTGCTTTCCATAGTAATTACCACTCGAAATTCATTCTCTTTATATTGTTTCTGATAGGGTTCACTTTGGACTTAAAATGGTTTTGGCGCTGGTGAAGGCGTTGTGCGCATGCGCGAACTTGTAATGCACATAAATACAAGAAATTGGATTTATTCAGTGTGTTTGTACGACGTCAACACTTTTAATTATCATAAGCAATCATTTTGAGTTTGTTTGGAACGTTGGGGAGTCGCTGTTTTCCGTAAAATGACAAATGAAATTTGAGGTTATGTTGTCCTTTGTGAAATAAATCAACTCACGAGGTGTCAAGGGGGTCTTCCCCGATAGGAAGCCTGTAGAAGTACTTTAATCTATCCGGGAAGGTAGTCTGACGGAGAGTATCTCTATATAGGAGTGGGATTCGAAAAATCCAGTATTTTTGACGTACGGGCATTGGTTTCAGAGAAAAAAACCCTTTATTGAAATATCTTATTCTCACCATAAATAGGATTAGGAAGTGAGATGGATAACATCCCATGAATTTAGAAAAAGGTAATTGGAGACATCTTTCAACAATTAATATTTTTAAATTTATTACAAAAACAAGAGAATATTTTATACGAATTTTTGAAATCTTTTATTTGAAATAGCTGAAATGATGTCTCCATCGATTTCGATAAGAAAGATTCTGATAGCTCATACCAACTCTGGTTTATTCTGCAAGTGTTGTGACACGTGGACTTTTAGTTTTTAAGCTATTGGGATTGCGCTTTCTCTGACCAACCAACTTCTCTGACCACAGAACCACTTCGACATAGGACTAGTTCTTTTCATCATTGACCCAAGATTTCAGATCTGGTTTCGGGTTTTATTTTTACTCTCGAAAATTAAAGGTATTAATGAAATGTAAACCCACTCCAAATCTGGGCTCTGTAGCTCAAACGGTTCAGGAGATATAAATTCTTAAAGTTTTGAGTCAAAACTAGCGGCTTTCAAGGGTGGTGTAGGTATTACTCTATGAATATGTAGTGAGGTAAAATATGACAAGACCATTTGAAAGAGGATAAAAAACTGTTTCTAAACCACCAATGTAAAAGTTGGATTTGAATTTTCTACCCTTCGATCAAAGATACCAACAAAATTTAGGATATTAGCGTAACTCTCATAGCAAAAATATCTGGTCTCCAATTGTCACCAAATTTGGTGTACAGTTTCTTCTAAGGTCCCTTAACATTCTCTAATTTTTGTGGGAAGGTAGTATTTTTGCCCCAGGAATGGGGCCACCTATGACGCTAGGCATACATCAAATGGAAAATGCCACATAAAAAAAAGTTCCATTGAATCCGGGGACAACTTTTTTTCCGTGGACTGTCTGGCGAGAAGACTTCACCGCCATTTCAAACCCCACAACCAGAACCCCTTCCAGTATCGCGTACCACCACCAATGTCAAATGACTGCATGGCGGGATTGCCTACCTACTGCTTTGCAGGTGCTAGATGCACAAAACAAAAGACAACGCACAAAACAAATTCCGTAAAGAACGAGCAGATTAATTATGTAGCAAATTCATTTGGTACACCTTGCAACTTGTTCTTTTCTTCATAAGGCTAACCGTATATGTTATTTACGCCAGCTTATGACATTTGGGCGGTCATGTGACACTTTGAAACTCCTTCATTCGGCGAAGGAAGGCAACGCGCAGGTCACAAGAGCCCATTTCTTAATCACATCTTATCCAAGGCTTTAGTGGTAGTTGCGTCACCGGAATCGTGTTCTGAGGGCAAAGGGAGCGTGTCCCGTGATAAGATGGTCCTGTGCACAACACGTGCGAACCACATGCACAACGCGTGGGTAGCCCATCCCACCCCAAAAAAGTTTTCGAGGTACGGAGCCTAAATGGTAGTTTTCACCTAAAAAAGACCTTGTGCAAAGTCCGGGTCCTGTGCGACAACGTTTACCCGGATCGCATTGCGATTTTCGTTTTGGCCCAACCTTGGCGCCACACAGGTAGACCGTCTTGTAGGCGCTGCACTGCGCGCACGGTGGGGCCAGGGCGAACGACTCGGGCTGAAAGGGTTACCCAATGGGTCCTACTTTGTATCAGATATAGAAGATCCGAGCTCCCGACACACGCGGCGTGTCCAGGGGCCTAAACGTGCGCCCGACGACACTCGCCATTTACAGAAAATAATGCCGACGTAGCCCTAACTTTTTATTACATGAAAACCGAGGGCACACTGAGACCTTTCAGAATCAGTGACGTCTGCGGGGTAGCGGTGACGCGTTCAATAGAAAAGGCAAAAAAAGTCCAAAACGCCTGTGTACTAGGCTACTTTGCACTACAGGCGTGTAGTGCGGGCAGGCTAAGTGACGTCACCACAGGCGCAAATCCATGTTTTTCAAACTTTCTCTAGTGAAAGCGTCACCGCTACCCCGCAGACATTACTGATTCTGAAAGGTCTCAGTGTGCCCTCGGTTTTCATGTAATAAAAAGTTAGGACTACGTCGGCATTATTTTCTGTAAATGGCGAGTGACGTCGGGCGAACATTTAGGCCCCTGGACACGCCGCGTGTGTCGGGAGCTTGGATCCTTCATATCTGATACAAAGTAGGACCCATAGGGTAACACTTTCAGCCCGAGTCGTTCGCTCTGGCC